AGTACTTTTTTAGAACGCAACATTTACTAACAAAAAAATCATGGTAAATTTCTATCTCTAAATGAACATAAATCTTAGTTTTAGATTAAGTAGTAGGTCAATAATATGTACTGTCATTTTTTCGCATATTGAATTTGATCTTTTTATCACATGATTGTTGAATGAAGAATTTTTATTGGTTGACTATATAAAAAAAAAAATTTCCAATCCTCACTTTGTTGACGCGGGCGGGATATGAAAACCAATTATATAAATTTGTGTGGCCTTACTTTGTTTTTTTGCTTTTTTGATCAGAATAAGTAGGTATAATTTCACGTAATGCTGCCACTAATTTATCATTAACTTGAAAAAGATTCTGTTTTGGATCGAATTCAGCACGACATTGCGGACATTTATGACCATCAGTTTCAAACGCACGTTGAAGACAATCATGACACACGTTGTGTGTACAAGGTGTTGTAATAGGCGCTTGAACAAGTTCTAAGCAAACGGGGCACTTAAATTCTTCGTCCGCAATAATTGAAATAAATTCAGCCAAAGTTTGGCATTCTTTTGAAAGAACAATCTTCCATGCACGATTATTCTTCTTATCTTTTTTAATCGATGCAATTAATGCGGCAGATGGACTAAATTTTGCAATTTTGATTTTTTTAGACGAAGTGCCACTGCTAGATGATCCATTTTTAGAACCTTTAGCATCCTCCAAATCATTTCTAGAACGTTTCTTAATTTCGAAACCTTCGGGGATATACATTTTCAACCCTAAGTCAACAATTCGTTTTTTTCCTTCTTTAGTCCACGGAGCCGGTTCCTCATCATCACGGCGCATTCTATACCGCCATACATAAAAGCCAGCCTTTCCCTTCTCTCTCCAATATTCAACCACCTTATATAAACCATCATAACGTATGCCATCTTCTGGTGCATATTTTGGATTATGTTTTTTTAATCCTGCTGATCGACAGACTCGAATTGGTTTACTTTTTTTCCAATCTTTAGCCTTTGCTCCCTTTTTGTCATCAACAGGCGCATCACATGTTCGCGCAAGTGCCATATTATTCTTGGTAAGTTCTTGATCTGATGTTTGTGGCGCAGTGCGTTTGTTACCCGTTTTCAGATCGCGACCACCAGAGCCCGTATAAACAAATTCTTCTCCATCGTCTTTATCTTCTGGATAACCTCCACTTAATACGATCGATACCGCTCCTACTTCAGACTTTCCGCTAATTCCAGCAACAATAGGACGATGAACACCTGACTCGGAACAATGGAGACGATATTTCCATGAATATCCAACGGGAATACCTGGAATGGCACCAAAATGATCAGGATCAACGATCTCGCATGTTTTGCTACGACCCATACAAGCAACTCCGCCGCCCCATTTCTTGGTTTGAGTTGCAGATGGCATTTTTGACTTTTTTGATTTTTTTAAATCAAGCCCTTGCCCAGCTAAAATGACGTCATCATCATCGTGTTTGCATTGAGGACAATACCAATCATCTTTAGGAAGAGTTTCCATAGGTGGTTTTAAACATTTAAAATGATAATAGTATTGGCATTCATCACACACAATTGTGTGTTCTTCATCATCCTTGTTTCCGCAAACATTACAACCACATTCTTTACATTTCTTTCGCGGGTTGTTATTACATGCACTACAAACATATTCTTCTTCATATTCGGCAGGTTGCGTCGTTACAGTTACAGTCGGTTCGGTTTCGTTTAATTGTACCTCATTATTTTCATCATTGGAACTTAATGGTGCTTCTTGTAATGACGTTGTGGAAAGATTTGGCTCGTGAAATTCTTCAACAATGACTTTTTTGTACAGTTGAACAGTACTTTGGTGTTTCACATTGTAATGGAAGAGTGTAAATCCGTCCTCTAATTGTTTACCACCAAAGAAAAGCCTCTGTACTTCAGGAGGATAACGGTTTTTAAACTCTTTTGCAATCTGAACTCTTAAGTCTTGAATGTTGTCTCTAAGATTACATTCAACCTGAACTTTCTCTATTCCTTCGGCTAACACAAATATAAACATTTTTTTTTTAGCCCTTTTTCTATTTTGAAGCCCTATAAAGTTTATAGAAACAGCTCGCGAACATAAAATGCAAAATCAGGGATTTATTTAATCACTCGTGTAAAGCGCGTTTGTGTTACCGCTAGCATGATGGAGGATCCATTTGATTGGTTGTCGATCCTTGAAATTTCATTGACTGCATATCAGATATTGTGTTTTATAGATCTTCCCCAGTATCGCCTGAAAATGTTGCAGTCACGTGATATTCGAAAAATTCTTTAAAGTTCATTTATGTTAGGGTAAGGATTATTTTAGGGTTGGAGAGAAGGGGTCCTAGTAGCAAAATCGCTCAAGGAAAACTTTTTGTTAATGCGCAGAAGGTGGTTTCTTATGTAAATTTGTGAGAAATAAGCTTGTTTTGAAATTTTCTGCTCGTGTTACATTACACCAAATCATGATTCATTATTGGTTAATCTTCTGTCGATCATCATGTGACTGCAACATTTTTCAGGCGATACTGGGGTAGTTGTTTTATAGCAATTGATTATATGATAAATCGCCAGAAGCAAGTAATATCAAAGAATAAAATTTTTTAAAATTTCATTAACTGTTTACTATAACTTGCAAATACTGAAATAGAAAGTCATAAATTGTATAGCAATTTATCATATAATCGATATATGGCATTACTATTATGCTGCTGCCACTACCAGTTTTCAGAATTTTGACAGGGAGTAGGATCGATTTTACTGTCACGTGATACTCTGAAAACAAACGTTGATGAGCTAAAAGCATCTTTTATATTTGAATTAGAGTTTTGGCTAAGGTTAGAGATAAAAATAATATAGTAAAATTGCACAAGGAAAATTTTTTTATTAGGACTCCAAGGATGGTTTACTAGACTAAATTTTAAGATAAATGCGATTTTTGCAAAGCGAACGTTTGTTTTGAATTTCTTTACGTTACACCTGATCCTGTTCTTTGATTGGCTGATATGCGTCAGAAAATCATGTGACAGTAAAATCGATCCTACTCCTCCAGTCATGGGCAGACATTCGTTTGATTGGCTAATGTAAATCAATTACCCGGGTAACTTATTTATACATTTTAGAGTACTTTTTGAGATTGTAACGTTTCACTAATAAAAAATTGCCACGAAAG